CCACCTCCTCCTCACCTTCTCCCTGAGCATGCTGATGCAGAAGTCCACCTCCTTCTGACGCAGAGGCAGCAGGTTTGGAGCTCCGTGGTCCACGATGAGGCGCAGGTAGGAGTAGACGGACATGGCGATCAACATCCCACTCTTCAACACCCACTCCCTGCAGAAGGAAAACACACTGTGTGTCACCAACACACACACACACACACACACCCTCACCACAACACACACACACACATACTTCTGCTCCAGCAGGATGTCCAGAACATTCTCAGCCAACCACAGGTTCTTGGTGGAGATATCGCCACCTGGAGGACAGACACAGATGTGATCAGGTGGAGTCTGTGTGTGTGTGTGTGTGTGTGTGTGTGTGTGTGTGTGTGAGCTGCTGACCTGCGATCTGTTTCAGCAGCGTCATGACGACACCGTCTGCTCCCATCACTGCACTCTTCACCAGCTCCCGGACCAACCACACCATCTGTGAACACACACACACACACACACACACACGGTTATCAAACATGGTCCAAACACCTGGGTACCAGCGTGTGTGTGTGTGTGTGTGCGTGCCTGTGTTCTGGGGACGTCCTGCAGTTTGAGGAACTTCTCCATCAGGATCTGGTTGATCTTCACCAGGACCACGTTCATGCCGTCTCTGTTCAGCAGCGTCAGGTCTCTGTAACACTGCCCCCCCCACCAAGAAACACACAGTGATGTCAGAGTGATGTCACAGGAGGCCAGGTGAGGGTGAGGGTGTGGGTGGAGCAGGACTCACCCTCTGGGCCTGGGTGGGTTCAGTCAGGACCAGGGAGAACAGACCCAGACAGACCTCCTCGTGCTGCTGTGGACCTTTACACACCTGAGGAACAGGAAACAGGAAGTTGACCACCCTGACGGGTCACCCTGACGGGTCACCCTGACGGGTCACCCTGACGGAGTACTCGGGTGTAGCTGCAGTACTGAGACCTCAGCTGCTTTGAAGTACTGTGTACTGTGTGCGTTTCTCACGTTAGCAGTGAGGGCGTCGTTGGCCTCTCTCTCCGACAGTCCATTGGTCAGCGACTGGACGATTCCAACACAACGCTCCAACCTCTGGCCGACCAACAGGAAACACACGTTAGAGAGCGTTGATGACCGCGGTTCATAACACGGCTGCGTGTCTACGTTAGTGTCAGTGAAAAGAGTACAAACGGTTCCAAGGAAACGTGGAAAACCTGGTACAACACGTAGCACAAAGAGAGTCAGCAAGTGTGACGTCACAGGAGCCTCTGACCTACTACAGGTCAAAGCTGTAGCTAAAATAATACACATTCTCACCCACTGCTGGAGGCAGCAGGGAGTCAGTGACGTCACGACTGCAGGACAGTGAGATTCTTCAAAACATTTGAATAATTTGTTGTTCGTTCACCTGTCACTTCTCCACCCATCTGTTTACCTGGGTTAGCATGCTCGACTAACTGTGAAGTTGTCAGGATGGTTAAAACGTCACTTCAATGAGTGTTTGACGTCATAAAAATAACGTAGAGGGGGCTCTACGTCATTTTCACGCCACCTCACTTTGACCTAAAACCAGATTGCTTGATCATATTCATGTTCCCGGGCCGCTCGACTGCTACCGCTGGTGCTAACTAGCTTAGCTTGTCTTGGCTTCATGTTTCTGTTTCTAAACTAAAAGCCTTTCATTAACCGCGTACACAGCGCTCTCATCGGTCCCCGCGCTGCTCCGGGAGCCGCGTCCCGGCTCGGCCTACCTCCTCGAGCTCGTCTTTAGCGTCCAGCGGGGTGGACACCAGCAGGCGGCCCTGCGGCTTCGCCTTCACCGGTGCAGGCTCCATCTGCTCCCGCCGCGCCTCGCCGGGCCCCGCGGTGCAGAATATAGTCTCCGCTCAGGGCCAGGCGCGGTCGGGATGGTGTCGAGTGTTCGTGTCGGTGAACCGGGTTCTCCGGGAAAAGGTTGGATTCTGTTTATCGGGTGTTTTGACACTTATTTCAGAACAGTGGAGACTGTGGACTCCCGCTCTGAGCGAGCAGCACAGACACATAACAGACATCCGCACACTGAGTTGGTGGGGCGGGGCTAGAGAACGGCAGACCAATCAGTTCACAGATAAACCGGAGTGGCGTAAATCAGAACTAATGGAAGGAGAGCGGAGCCATTTGGCCGCGCCTTTCCTGCTCTGGCTGATTTACCGTGTAAACACAACCGCGGACGTAATCAATACTAATGAATAATAATGGTCTTTAAATTCTACAATTCATAAATTGTATGAATGATATGTGTAATATATATAATAGTATATAATACAAAACGTGTTTAACTTGTTGTTTCATATCGTTTTCCATCTCGTAAATGATTTCTTATTCAGATTTTAAACTATTTCTATTTATATAATTGAATGTGTTAATATGTTAAATTATTTTTTAAATATTCAATTATTTCATTTTTATATATTTTTATTTAAACCCTCTATTATATTTAAATTACTTTTGAAATGAGTTGTATTTTAACCTGATCACTTATCAACGAACTGAAGAAGCCTCGTGGACCAGAGGTGAAACCTGCAGGACTGAGAACCTACACGGACTGGATCACCTACAGCACGATCGTTCCCATTTGCCCTATTCTGTCAGCAGGGGGCAGTCACAGCACCATCAGGACTCGCACAGTGTTTGTACTTTGAACAAGTTTTGTTTTCTTACACAAAAACAGCTCAAAACAGAGACAAAAATAGTTTTACTGTGAATGAATATGAAAACGTGAAGATGAATGAGATTAAGATTATTATTAATACCAGAGTCACGACAACACGAACAAGGATCAGGAGAAACATTTACAAACTAATCTGAGTTCATTTCATTACTTATTTGTACTAGGTCTGGTTGGTAACTATGGTACGGTTCCTCCTGTCAGTGGCTGTCCTGTGTCAGTTGCTCTCCTCGTCCAGCAGCCAGTACGTCCTCATACAGCCTTTTCCTTTCACCTGGATCTCCCCTCGCAGCTCCAGGCTGAAGCTGCTGAACTCCTGTAGAACCTGAACCGTGGCCTCTGACACGTGAATCTTCAGAGCTGCAGAGGAAACACAAACAATCGCTAACTGACTGCAACCACCGGAGGCAGCAGAGGACACAATGGTTCACTCAAGTTTTACCTTCTCCGTTGGACTCCATGCGTGACGCTGTGTTGACTGTGTCTCCAAACAGACAGTACCTGGGCATCTTTAGTCCAACCACCCCAGCACACACTGGTCCTGAAAGACACACACACACACACACACAACTGTCAGTGCCATCTGCTGCAGCTCAGGATGCTACAGTGAACAAACCATCTCGCTAGGATAAAATCTCTGATTTTCTCTATGGACTTTGGTCTGAACTAAAATCTCTGCTTTTCTCCAAGGACTTTGGTCTGAACTAAAATCTCAGATTGTCTCCATGGACTTTGGACTGAACGAAAATCTCTGATTTTCTCTATGGACTTTGGTCTGAACTAAAATCTCAGCTTTTCTCCATGGACTTTGGACTGAACGAAAATCTCTGATTTTCTCCGCTGACCTTGGTCTGCACTAAAATCTCAGATTGTCTCCATGGACTTTGGACTGAACGAAAATCTCTGATTTTCTCCGCTGACCTTGGTCTGCACTAAAATCTCAGATTTTCTCCATGGACGTTGGTCTGAACTAAAATCTCAGATTTTCTCCATGGACGTTGGTCTGAACTAAAATCACTGATTTTCTCCATGGGGTTTGGTGTAGAAGAGAAGTAAAATTACAACGCGTCCAACATAATGTCAAACACGTGGAGGAAGTAGATCCTTTGAAGTCATTGGCTGATAACTGTCTTCAGAGGCTGAAGCCACACCCACCACTGTGAATGCCGATGCGCAGCAGCAACTGCTGATTGGGTCGGTGTCGGATCCTGAAGCTCTTGACGGCGTCCAGCAGGGCCAGAGACATCCTGGCCACCTCCCGACCGTGGAGCTTACCGTTCCTCACCGGCAGGCCCGACACCACCATGTAGGCGTCACCGATGGTTTCCACCTGGGGGTGGTGTTGTAAGAAAGAAGCATTAGCTGGAACAACATGAGCTGCGAATAGTGGAGGTAACGTTGAGACAAAATGTTTTTATTTGAGTTAAAAAAAAAAAAAAGTTTTTCTCATTGTTACCACCAGGTGTCACTGGACCTGACGAACATTTAAAAATCGTTCCCAGCACTAAATAGAATACAGAATTATCAAGGAGACACGCAAACGCAGTTCTGGAATCGACCACGAGGGGTCGACATGGTGACCTGCTACAGACCCTGCAGCTGTTAACGTTACCTTGTAGACGTCAAAGTTGTCAATGATGGCGTCAAAACAGGTGTAGAGATCGTTCAGCAACGTCACCACCTGCAGGCGGGAAACAGAAGTGCATCTTGGACTAAACGTCATTTGTCTTTAATGTAGAAATGGAGTGTGTTTTAATGGACGTGGCCCAACCCGTGGGTTGAAGGAGACACAGGGACAAACTGTCTCCGCAGGATCTGTACTACAAATCAGGACAGTCCCCACGACTTTAGCCAACCTCACAACACTGCGTACCTATGTCACTTCCTGTCCCGCTGCTCACCAACTTCCTGTTTGGTCCTGAGTTGTCATGACAACTGAGGAAAGTGTCGCAATAACTACTGACCTGCAGAGGCGTGCTCTCAGCGGAGAGCGCCGTGAAGCCGACGATGTCACTGAAGTAAATGGTGACAGAATCGAAGGCTTCAGCCTGAACCGTTTCACCGCGTTTGAGCTGCTCGGCCACAGAACTGAAACCCAGAAAGAACCGACTCAGAGTTCTGTACCATCAACATCACGGCAGTATTTTCACTGCACGCTCTTTACTGGGGCAGGATCTGGTACAGCAGCGCCTCCGCCTTCCGTTTCTCTTCGTGGTACGCCTGCGTTCTCTCCTCCACCAGCTCCTCCAGGTTGTTGGCGTACTGCTCCATACGAGACAGAAGGTTGTCCAGGATGTTGGAGCCATAACCTCTGAGGACGAAGAACAAGAGAGTTCAACAAGTTACACTTCACACCAGAGTCCATGGAGAAAATCAGAGAATTTAGTTCAGACCAAAGTCCATGGAGAAAATCAGAGAATTTAGTTCAGACCAAAGTCCATGGAGAAAATCAGAGAATTTAGTTCAGACCAAAGTCCATGGAGCAAATCAGAGATTTTAGCTCAGACCAAAGTCCATGGAGAAAATCAGAGAATTTAGTTCAGACCAAAGTCCATAGAGAAAATCAGAGATTTTAGTTGTTGGACCAGCAACATGTTGGTCTGTGAGAGTGAGTGGTGTCCAAATGGATCCTTGTTGAGAAATTCTGTCTAATGGCGATAGGTGGCAGCAGTGAGGTGGTGTCTCTCTCACACACACATACCTGTGTTGCTTCCTCAGCAGGATCTTGATGGTGTTAAAGTCCGGTCGTTCCCCCGGCTCCTCGCTCCAGCAGCGCTGCATCAGAACTCCCAGTTCCTCGCTGTGACTATGGAAACACAGGGAGGGGCGGAGGGGCGGGGCTCCTCCCTGAGACACCCCCTGGACAATCTCTGTGGGGGGGGAGGGGGGGGGATCATGAGGTTTCTATTGTTTTTTTTTTCCTTTGGTTCTGTGTGACCTCTGACCTTTGGGTGTAAGCGTCTGCGTGTCCAGGAAGTAGACTCCTCTCATCAGAGCCACTTCCTGCAGGATGATGCCGAAGCTGTAAATGTCTCCTTTCTGCGTCCCACCAGTAGGGGGACACTCTGTCCTCAGCAGCTCTGGAGACGTCCACAGTTTTCCTGAGAGGTCGAGGGCGGAGACAGAGCGCAGGGCAGTGATGACATCACCTAGTGGGCGGTGACTAAAGTGCAGGTGTGTGTGTGTGTGTGTGTGTGTTCATACGAGCGTAGTAAGCGTGTGTGTCCTCAGAGGTGCTGCCTCCGCGGAGACTCTGCAGACCGTAGTCAGTGATCTTCAGGACGAAGCGACTGTCCACCACACAGTTGGACGACTTCAGGTTCCCATGAGACACAATCACACTGTTGTGGAGGAAGGACATGCCCTCCACACACACACACACAGGATGTCACAGTACAAACCAGGGCCTCATCGTTGACCCGCTAACCTCTTCTGGTTCTGTCTCACGATCTCGACGACTTAGGTCAAATCAGAGCGTACTTGTCTCCTCACGTCACCTGTTGCTACAGTCGATGGTCAACAAGACCCCGGGGCGTCTAGTCTTGACCAACCCAGAAGGGGGCGCATGTACACTGGCTGCTAACTGCTGTGTTTACTGACGCCTGATTGGTCCTCAAACTGTTAGTCGCTTTGGATAAAAGCATCTGCTAAATGTGACGTGACGTGTTAGCTGTTCATGCTAACGTTTAGTCTGTGTGGATCAGTGTTTACTTCAGTCACTAGCCCCGCCCACCTTCACAATGTCATTGATGAGTGAGTATCTGAACATCCAATCCAGAGTGATGCTGTCGCTCTCCATCAGATCCTAGAACACACACACACACACACACACACACACACACACACACACACACACACAGATTAGGTTCAAAGCTCACTAATACATTAGTGTTATTTTTCAGGGCTAACTGGAAGCTAACGATTAAATGACTTTGTAACAGTGTTAGCACTAACTGTTAGCACTAACTGTTAGCACTAACAGTGTTAGCACTAACAGTGTTAGCCCTAACAGTGTTAGCACTAACAGTGTTAGCACTAACAGTGTTAGCGCTAACACTGTTAGCACTAACAGTGTTAGTTAACAGTGTTAGCTAACACTGTTAGCACTAACAGTGTTAGCTCTAACAGTGTTAGCACTAACAGTATTTGCACTAACAGTGTTAGCCCTAACAGTGTTAGCACTGACAGTGTTAGCACTAACTGTTAGCACTAGCTGTTAGCACTAACAGTGTTAGCCCTAACAGTGTTAGCACTGACAGTGTTAGCACTAACAGTGTTAGCTCATGTTAAACTTAAAACCCGATCCTTTGAGTCATTTTTGCCCACGTTTGTTCTATTGGTATGCAGTACTTCTGATTTGACAGCAGGGGTCCCCACCGAGGGTGGAGTCCTCCTAACTGTCAACTGTCTGAGGGTTGATAGCGCCTCTCCGTCCTCGTCCACCTACAGCTGGAGGACACGTGTCCCCCTGTTGCTAGGTTACCAGGCCAGCAGGTTGCTAGGTTACAGCTCTGACAGAGGAGGAGGAGGAGGAGGAGGAGGAGGAGGTCTGAAGGATGAAGATGTGAAAGATGAGTCAGTGAGAAGGTCGGAGATGAAGCTGCAGTACCTGCAGGCTGCCTCTGGGGCAGTACTCTGTGATGATGCACATGTTGGGTGGATCGATGCAGGCGCCGATGAACCGGGTCAGATGTTCGTTCTGGACGTCCCTCATCTACAGGAACACAGAGACTGAAACAGTTAGGAACCCGCTCCCGTGGACTGGTACCACTGGTACTGGAGGAGGACTTTCTCACATGTTTCAGCTCAAACAGAATGTTCCGGGTCAGTTCGATGCGTTTCTTCTTGATGTACTTGATGGCAGCCAGGTTCCCCTGCAGGAGACAGAAGACAGCAGAACTGAACCCCGTGACCCCTGACATCATCATCAGGGGGAGGAGTCTGACCCACCTTGTAGTACCCAGTCTTGGTGTAGATCTGGAAGTTTCCCTCCATGGTCATCAGGGAGCCATAGTTTGATCCTCTCTGTTCAGAGATTTGTCATCTGTAATCTCTTCTCAGAGTCAGTGTGTGTGTGTGTGTGTGTGTGTGTGTGTGTGTGTGGTACCAAGGACATGGTGAGTCTGCTGCAGGTCTTCTTCAGAACCTTTTCCAGGTTACTCATTTGGACGTCGTCCCAGGAAACCCTCCACAGCTGAGCCACCAGCTCACTCTCCAGCTTCAACTTCCTGGCCCCAGAAATTACACATATTTGTAATGTTGCAATCCACAGCCTCACCACTAGAGGGCTTTAATTAATACACATTAAAATAAGAACCCAGGCGACACCAGGTCATTGGTGAAAATATAAACAGTGGAGTTGAAGAATAAAAACATTAGAACAGCAGTGGATCAACAACTGTTGTTCCCACTGCTGCCTCCTGTGGTCAGGGTTGGCTCTGATTTTCTCCATGGACTTTGGTCTGAACTAAAATCTCTGATTTTCTCCATGGACTTTGGTCTGAACTAAAATCTCTGATTTTCTCCATGGACTTTGGTCTGAACTAAAATCTCTGATTTTCTCCATGGACTTTGGTCTGAACTAAAATCTCTGATTTTCTCCATGGACTTTGGTCTGAACTAAAATCTCTGATTTTCTCCATGGACTTTGGTCTGAACTAAAATCTCTGATTTTCTCCATGGACTTTGGTCTGAACTAAAATCACTGATTTTCTCTATGGACTTTGGTCTGAACTAAAATCTCTGATTTTCTCCATGAGGTTTGGTCTGTGGTGGATGTAGATAATGAAAAGTCTCACCTGTAGATAAAAACTGTAACTGTAACTATGATGATGAAGACAAAACACATCACTATGGCAACCAGCTGCTGCATGGACACTGTCCCTGTAAGAAGGACAGATCATGGACATTATAATAATTTCCCATAACATTCATATAGAAAATGGATGTGTGTGTGTGTGTGTGTGTGTGTGTGTGTGTGTTGGTACGTACGTGCCAGGCAGGCTGGTTTGTCGTTCTTAAAGCCACATTCTGGAACGTCAGGAGGTGGCGCTCCACCTGGCCACTGGAAGCTCCGCCCACTCTGCAGAACCAGCTGTTTGAGGCTGCTGTTGTACACACACACCACCTGAACCCAGACAGCACAGCTGTGACCTCACTGAGGCTGTGATGACACGTCATGACATCACCATCACCTGATTTACCTGGAACTCTCCGGAGTCCATGTCCGTCATGTCCCAGATGGCAAAGTCTGTCTGTCTGTCCCCAAGACTGTCCATCTCCACAGCACCCATCACTCCTGCACACACACACACACACACACACACACACACACATCATCATCATCATCTTCATCTTCATCATCCCTGATTCTGTTGTGACGCACACACACTCTTATTAACCACATCTGTGTGTGTGTGTGTGTGTGTGTGTGTGTGTGTCTATAAAAGCAACTAAATCTAATAAAGGGTCTGGATATGAGCAGTGAACACACACACACACACACACACACACACTGTTCTATTTCTTTTCTTTCCTGCTGCAGGAGGCCGACGCCTCCTCAGTGATGTCATCAGAGGTCAGAGGTCAAAGTGAAGTGATGAAAACAGAAAAATAAACCAAACCTGGAGCCAGACTCACTCCACCAACGGCACCTTAGCTTAGCTTAGCTTAGCTTAGCTTAGCTGACAAACACAGGAGAAACCATTGTTAGCTTAGCATAGCTAATGTCCTCCATGTCCTCTCTCCAGAAAACAGTCATATCAAAGTGGTTAAAGCCGTGGCTCCTGTGGAGTCTGTGTTTAATGCCGGTGTGCCCGTGGTGTGGCCTGTGGTTACCCGCGGGTTAGCCGCTGGTTAGCCGCTGGTTAGCTGCTGGTTAGCCACTGGTTAGCCGCTGGTTAGCCGCTGCGCCTGGGGTTAGCCGCTGGTTAGCCGCTGGTTAGCTGCTGGTTAGCTGCTGGTTAGCTGCTGGTTAGCTGCTGGTTAGCTGCTGGTTAGCCGCTGGTCGCCAGACAGGGAGGTTGATTTGTGGCTCAGAACCAACCTTTTAAATTATTTTCTCTGCTGTGTGACAGAAACGCTGAACAAAGAGAACGTTTGAAGAAGTCCTATGAATAAAACGGAAGAAAAAGCTTAGAGAAACAATTACTGAACGTATTTGACTGTATGTAGTAATAAAGTATGACTTGGTAGTTTGTACACTTCCGGTGGGCGGTCCTTATAAGGCCCTAAGTTCCCGGCATTTGTAATTAATTTAGCAGCTCACGGAGAACGCGGAGAAGAAAAGCAGGTGAGGAAATGAATATGTTAACGATGGTTTAGTCGCTTTACTAGTCAGTAAAGTTTGTTATAATAAACTGTGTCGTTTGATAACGTCGAATTAATTGAAGAAACTCCCTGACGTGAGTGACATGAACTGAAGTAGCCCAGCGGGCTAGCCTTCTGTGGCTAATTACAGCTCAATAAACCGAACATTAGCCACAGAGATGACGAGGAAACGAATGTGTTTAGTGTTGGCTTCACCTTGTTGTTGTGTTTTTAACTTAAATGAAACTCACCCAGTGAAATAAAGGGAAACGAATTAAAACATATCGTCATATATTTACCTTTGGATTCCGTTTTTACCACAAACGTCATAATATTACATATTAACTTCACTTTATTCGGTGAATATAAACATCAAATATGGAGCCTATTTCAACTAAATCTGTTGTTTTTGTAATTATTTTACTTTTTAAATGTATTTTTACATCTTTTATTTATTTATTTTTATATCAATATAAAGCGTGTTGTGGTTTTTTTTTAACCAGTGAAAGTGTTGCATAAATAAACTTGAATCACTTTGACCTTTTCTATTGACGACTTATAAAGAAAAGTCAGTGACTTCACACAGGGAGCAGGTTAAGGACATTTATTCAGACATTTCTGGTCACACTCGGCAGATTTAAACTCCTACAGTCGGGGTCAGGTCAGGGTCACAGCAGTGACCATAAATACGTCCACTTTTCTCTGTGTATTTTCTGTAAATGGACCCTCCTGTCATGTTGGTGTCCTCCATCAGTCAAGACAAACGCTGAAACAAACGTGACACCTCCTGGGTCGGGGTCTGTGACGGACACGTGGGTTTATGATGACGGACGAGGTTACCAATTTAAAACCATCTGTGTGTGCGTTGTTGGAGCGTTTTATTCTTTATGGCTGGATGTGTTTTATCGGTGGTTTTGGTGAGTCCTGCACTGTTTGCTGTCACAGTGAAATATCACTGCACTCTCTGCTGATTGCTGTGTGTGCTGCCTCCGTTCTATTCATAAAATGCAGTTCTGTGCTGCACTGTGACAAAGTAAAGTGGATTTAAAGGCTGCTGCAGGGTGTTGGTGCGGTGTTACAAGAACACACATGATTTTGTTCCTGGTAAAGCTGTTAAAAATATACGTCTTTTATAAAGTGAGCTGAATGGTTTAATATATGTGTGTGTGGGGTTGGGTGGGGGGGAGGGGGGTTTGGGAAGAATCTGACCTCACCACACATATATGGGAAAACTAACATTGGAACAGAGGGATCTACATTTGGAATCACCAGAGAAGAAAGAAAATAAAACATCAGGAATATTTGACTGGGAGTTCTGTCTAAGCAGGTGGAAAAGTAAACCCTGTTTTTGGTTTCAATGATTAACTGTGTCTTAATGTCTCCGTACACTTCAGTGTCAACTACATCTTTGTCACATTTGTCAGTTTCTGTGCAAACACTGATGATAAAATCCTTTCCAACAAAGGGCTGCAGACAAATCAAATCTGTTTCATTATCTGCCTGTGGCAGTAGGTGGCGCAGTAGGAGGGAACGGCAGCTGTTCGTTCATGACAATATACAGCAACCTGCAAAAAAAACCAAAAAACTCTTTGCCTTCGATTCCTGTTCAAAGAGAATGACATTAAAGCAGATGAAGCCCCAGAGCAGAGTCCTTCAGCCGAGCGCTCGTCTGTCGGACTTGAAAGTCATGTTTTTGTGCTGTTTTTGTTTCATGTTACAAACTTAGTGTGTTTGTTGCTGCCCCCTGGCTGAGGTTCTGTTCAATTTTAGTATCTGTGAAGCCAGGAGGGTTTTGTTTTTTGTTTAATGCCATGTCGTTGTCTTCTGACCTGCAGAGCCACCAGGTCCACCGTCCTCTCTGCCTCCTCTGAACATCCTGCTGTTTCTTTCCACAACAGGAGGATGTGATGCCAGGATGTGATGGCTGCGGTCAGGTCACTGCTGCGGCTGTAGTGTGAGTGTGGCTGTAGAAAGGCTCGGTGTCAGTGAGTTTCCTGCTTGTTATTATCGTCTCCATTCATCTGACGGTGACGTCCAGTGGAGTTTAGCACGACAGGAACTCCAGATGTTCATGAAGGAAAACAAACACATCTCAAAAAGTTAAATCATAAATAAGAATTGTTAGAATAAAACAGAAACATCACATTATTTGAAATCCATTTTTGAGCAAAGGTCAAAGAACCCGAAAAATATGATGTAAATTTTTCTAAAAAGGCTTCTACTTTGTAGTAACATTGTAGTACTACTGCTCTGAATATGAAATACAATGTTTATACGCAGTATTTCTGTCTTCACTCGTACTCTGTCTTCTTCTCTTCATGTCTTCTAGAACTGTGATCCTCCAGCATCAAACCCACCTTCTCACAGTGTCGTTTCTGCTGCAGTACCAGGAAACTGTGAGTTCATTTTCTTCACTCTGTACTGTGCACTACATGACCGTGTTGTTTTCCAGTTGAGTTACAAATGAAATTTTATTTTATTCTCCACGGTTTCTCTTCAAGACGACGCCTGGGGAAACCAGCCGTACTTCTCCACTTCTCCACTGCTCCACTTCTCCGTTCACGGGGGGAGGATGAAGCACCAGAGGAGAGAATCTGTTTCACAGCAGTTCCCTGGGCTCAAAGATAGATGGAGGGGATTTGCATAGGGTGGGGCGAGAGTGAGTGTAAGAGATATGAGAGGGAACAGGAGGACGAGGCAGAGAGAGATGTTACTGCTACGGTGCAGTGAAGGGAGGAGGAGGAGGAGGAGGAGGAGGA